TCTGCCTTTCTCCATTCCTAGTGCCCGCAGTGCCGGCCAGCCGGGGTCGAAAGATTGCTCGTTTCGCATTTTCATTCATGAAGAAGTTGGTGGCGGGTGTCCTCTTTCTTGTCCATTTGAACATTTGCTGTTCACCGCTTTCCATTCCCTTCCACTCCTTTCCATTTCCCCTCCATTGTCTTCCAATTTGTTTCCATTCTTTTCCATGTCCTCTCAATTGTTCCCTTCCATTCCCTTCGCGCATCTTGCAGTTTGCATTTCATTTCTTGACGTTTCGTTCCATTCATTTCCATTTCAAGATAGAAGTGCCCAAGGCCAGCCGAGGCTTGTTTATCAATTTCCTGCGCACCGAATTTGATAGGACCGCGGTTCCTCTCCATCCCCCTTCCAATCCCCTTTCCATCTTCTATCCATACCTTCCCATTCCTATGCTGGAAAAAAGCCAGACGGGGCCGAAAAGAAATCTCGTTTCGCAAATCATGCGTTACGAAGTCACCAGCGCTGGGCTTCCTTCTATTTCCTTTCGTTTGCTTCCCATTTCATGTCCATTTACTTTCAGTTTCCTTTGTTTCCATTTCGTCTCGATTCACTTTCAATTGTCTTTCCATTGCCTCCCCATCTCCTTTCCATTCCCTTCCATCATGTCCTTTCAATGTCCATTCTATTTCTTTCATTTCCCCTTCATTTGTTTTGCTTTTCTTTCATTTGCGTTTGGGTTCCATTCATTTCCATCGTTTTCTCCTCTATTGCCTTTCCATTCCCGTTCAATGTATCATTTGTTTTTCTATCGCACCCCAAGTCTCCCTTTCATGCCCAATTTCCTTTAAATTATTTCCGTCCGGTTTTCCATTTCATTCCTGGAACCTCCGTCCGGCCAACATTTTAGCCGTTTTGAGTTCAGCAAGAATTTCAGCCGCAAGTAGAAACAAATCGCCGGCAGCTCTGAATAACGCCGGCAGCAAAAAACAAGCCGTAACGCCTGGTCTAGCACATCATAAACTGAACCAAGCACTTGCTCCCACAATGCAAAACCAACTGGCATGTCTTCGATTTTCTCACAAACGCTGCTGAAAATTATGCAACTGGGCACGCAGCAACGACTCCACCCATCCAGAGAACACTGCGTAGGCCGGAAATGGCAAACACTTGCACATCAATAGACGAGCTTTGGCACTGTCGGTGCCCGCAACTACATAGCCAACTGCATCTTGATTTCCGCCACTTGCTTTGCTCAGTGATGCTAATAACAGCACGAATCGAAAGGAAGGAGATCAAGCAACACAATCCCAGGCCCTGAGAACGCCCACTGGTTGGACGCGTGTTTCCGCCATAATCCCGCGTGCTTCCACCGTAATCCCGCGTGTTTCCGCCGTAGCCCGAAACACCAACAAAATACAAAACCGTCTATTAAACCGTGCATGCAGGCAAAAAACTGATTCCTGCACTTTGGGGCAACCAGCCCCTTTGAAGCCAGAAGCAGTGGAGACAAGAGGGCACACGCATCGAACAAGCATAATTCATACACCCGGGCTGCGTCATGCCCTGTTTGAAGAGATTGGCGGTAGGCATGCGCAGGTACTGCGGTTGCTACAAGTTGCAAAAGGCTGCTTCGTGGCTGCATATATTAAATATAACAAGTCCAACGGCGGTTTGCACAATCAACGCTTGTCACATTGGTGCATGCATGTGCATACTCATAGATCAAAGCAAAGGTCGTGGCAGCAATGCTCTGGAAGGCCGCGTATGAAAAACGCCGCCGGAAAAGCAAAAACGCCGCACGATTTTTTGGCGATCCCAATTTCCGCCGGCGGACGCAAAAAGGCGCCTTTTGGAGTCCGCGGCTGAAATTTTGGCCGGAAGGAGTTTCCAGGTTGTATACCCGGGGCGTGTTTGCGCGTTCCCTCCCGCTTCTCAAGGCAATCCACTCCCTCTTCATTTCCCTTCCATGACCATTCCATTCCTTTCCATCTAGAAGTGCCCAAGGCCAGCCGGGCTCTGACAAGTGCTTGGCTCGCAATTTCCAGCGAAAAGAGTTTGCAAGGGCCGAGTTGTTTGTCCTTCTCTTTTCATTTGTTTCCTTTCTTCCAGTCTACAAGTCCATTCCGTTTCCTTCCGTCCCCTTTTGGTTTCTTGCCATTCTCCTGCTGTTCTATTTCATGCGGGTTTCTTTTGTTACTTTTGGCACGTCTTTCCATCTCTTTTCCATTAAGCTCCCAAGCCAACGGGGCCCAAGAAATGCTCGTTTTGCAATTGGCCACGAGGAGAGTTGGACGGCGCCGTTTCCATTTCTTGCCATTTCCTTTCGATTCGCTTTGCGGGTCCTTTCCACGTCCTTCCAGGTTGTTCCCTTCCTGTCCATGTCCTTCCCTTTCCATTTCCTTCTGCTTTGTTTCTATCTCCATTGCGTTTCTTTTCATTCCTTTCCACTACAGACACATAAGGGAAGTAAAAGGAACTAGGAAAGGACAGGTGGAATGGGCATGAAATAACACGGAACAGGTCGGGAATGGAACGGGAATGGGAAGAGTACCAGCAATTTCTTCGCTTCCGGAAGCGGAACTCCGAAAGGATTGGTTGTCGTCGCAACGAATTTTGGGACCGCGGGGTCCCTGGATGGCATGGCGGGCAAAGGAAACGGAGCAGAACTGACGGAGTTTGTGTGGGAATGGAAAGGACATCGAAATGGAAATGGAATGCCCAGGAAGCAGGGGGAAATGGAAAAGGAATGGAGACATGAACAGAAAATGGAAAGGTCATGAACAAGACATGGAAAGTGCGCGGGGAAGGAATGAAGGGGAAATGGAAAGAATTGAATGCAAAGTAAAAGGAAAGGAATGCAATTGAGACAGAGAGGACATGGGAAAGACATAAAAGAAATTGAGACAATAGAAAAGAAAAGGGCGGACATGGAAGGAAGCAAAAAGCAAATGGAATGGAAAGGACATGGAAAGCAGGAAATGGACCGGAAGTAAGAAGGAAATGAAGGGGAGTGAAAGTGAAATGGGGGATAGAAACAAATGGAAGGGACGCAGACATGAATGGAAGCAAATGCAAAGCACGTGAATCAAACTAAAATAAAAGGGTCATGGAATGGACATTTCAGGGACATGGAAAGGATATTGTAAGAATTTCGGGGGACTGTGCTCCTCCGGATGCGCCCTTGGCTTTCGTTTTGCTTATTGTATTTCTATTGTGATTTGTTTGCAACTAGATGCACAAACAAGGACATGCAAGCAGCAAGGCGACGGAATGCAACTTCTTTTTTTGAATAGTGTTGAATTATTGCCTCCCAGTCAGCCCGTCGTCTTTCAAAGGCGTCTTTCTGTAGTCAGGCTGTGGTGTTCCCGAAGTCTGCGCGTAGGGGTCTCAGCCGGGCCCGTGGACCGCCCTCGATGTTTCTTCGTTTTTTTGGTAGTGCTTGTAGCTTAAGTAATCTAAACGCGAGAATGAATGAACCAGTAAAAGCGAAGACTACACGTTTTCTCAACTTTTGCACGTGTTGTGACACTAGAGCGCGGCAAAGCGAAAAGCCAAGACTACGGATTTTCAGATATGGCGTCTTTCAAGAACAAACATGAACAATGAGCAGTTTGCCAGGTTGTCCAAGGGCCCAGTTGGGACCCCAAGACAGAAGCCAACGCAAAAGCTACGGTAAGACTACCGGAAGACAACGAAGATACTGGAAGACTACCTGAAGACCGTCGGAAGGAAAGACGAGTAGCAAACAATAACTGAAGAAAAAACGGCAAACACGAAGACTACGGTGTATAGTTTTAATCTTGGGAACTAGTTGAACAATTTGAAAAACTAAGATGAACGTTGAATTAGCAAAGACTACGAATGTCTGATATTTCAATTACATCAGCAAAAAGCGAGAACTTAGGGGCAGGTTCAAGGGGCGCAGCTGACCCGAAGACTAAAGCAAGACTACAGGAAGACTACCCGAATAATACATGCAAGATTCTGGGAAGACTACGGGAAGACTAGGAGCTGAAAAAATGCAAATCTACATCCGTAGTGTTCGTTCTTCTTTTTTTTCAACCAATGCCAGTAAACACTTGCGTGGGTTGGGGGGGCCCAGAAGCTGCTGGCTGAGCACCTTGAGCGATGTTTGGGATGCAAATGCACGCAGCTGCGTCGGTGTGTCGGGATGCGTCGGGATGTGCCGGGGACGCGTCAGGGATCTATAAGAGTACCTGACAGTAGAGCTAGCAGCAGTTGTTTTAGCGAGCTACGAAGGGTAGTCAAAGTTGACTCAAACAAGCAAACATGACAATGTTAGCCAACACAACCCGTTTGCTCACTTTTGACATCGGCCCCGAAAAGGTCCTTCATGGGTTGTGTCTTTGTTTGAAAGGAAGCCAACGAAAACAAACGAAATCCAGTTTTGTCCTTCGAGGTGTCCTTCCACAACCACATAGCTTGATTCCAGAAGCCCTGAGGTGGTCGCGCTTCAGGCACAACATGTCAGAGTTCCCACAAACCATGGAGCAGGCGAGTCGCGTGTGCCTAAAGGAAAAGAGAATGCCGGTAGTCAACGTTTTTGATTGGGAAAAACGTGGGTGGCGTTCAGGGGACTCACTGGGTTTCCCATGTCCTCGGATAATTCGTAGTTTTGACTGTGCCTCACATGAAGCGACCTTTCACTGCAGGCCAAGGCTGCTTGGAAGGCAGGGACGGGCGTGAGAAAAATGCATGAGACCTGTGCAAGATGCAGAGTCAAAACAGGAGACCTTCGGAGTGGTTGCTATTGTTTTCCTTCCAAGATGAGCGCCTCCCGGGCCAAGGCCTTCGCACCAGGCACAGAGCCAGAGCTTGCGTCGTGGCAAACAAAGCGGAGCTTGCGGAGCGACGGCTCGATTTGAGTTTTGGACTTGTCCATTCAGCCACCTGAGAAACCCTGATTTCTGATGATGCCCCTGCACATACCAAGAACAATGGTTTTAACCATGGTTTCAAAGTGGTGCGAATTGGGTTTTGTGCATCCACAGTATCACTTGTGGCGCCTTGTCAATTGTGTCCGGTTTTTGTCCGGACTTACGTGGGACACGAGGACCCAGGGATCACTCAGACAACAATTTGAGAAGCAACAGTTGACGTCAGACATGTTTGCTGTGCTCGCAACGCGATGTGGATGGCTACTGGCGCTTTGCACAGAAGCCCTTGAGCTAGAACATTATAAAATCCGCATGTATGTTCGTCTCTTTGTCTTTTTTTGCTTTATGCCGTTATGGCTTGTTCTCGCTTTCTCGCTTTGGTGTTACAACCTCAACCATGTTCTTCTCCACTTTAGGCAAGGGTCAAATAGCCAGCGAACCATTATGTTGGGGACAAAAAACGGAGCTTGTTCAGAGTGATGCGTCGAGAAATATCGCGTGTTCGGTTTGTTGAGTTGCGCCCTTTAAACACTCAATCCTTGCGTGCCAGTTTTGTCGGATGCTTTTTGTTGGGACATGGGGCATGGACACCAAGGGACGGCTCAGATTGGGACAACTGAACAGAGGCAAAACTGGTTTCCTGTCTTTCAGACTGCACTTGACAACAGAATTGCCCGGACAGCTTGTACCAGGGATGTCACACACACACACACATACATGCAACTAAGGTAAGGCATGTAAATAGACATCATTGACATTGCGGACTTTCATTGTTTTTCAATCATCATATCTGCACTTGAGTGCTGGAAATAAGTTTCATCAAATGGAAGCCAGTGTATGTTTGTTAATAACAGGCAGAATTGCTCTTGATTCATACAGAGGCTGCGTTGGAGCCATGCCTTCTACATCACATGGAGGGCCAAGACGGTAAATCTCCGAGAGCCCACCATGAGCCCGCGCTCGCGCTTGCTCGCGCAAGTAGCGCCCGAGAGCGCGACATGCGGAAGGAGCTGGAACAATGGCGGCAACGTGGCAAGCGCGGCAAGGAAAATGTATCCTCAAATTCCTTGGATGAGACGAAACACCGCCTCTCGTGGGAGTCAGAGTTGCGACCTCTCAGCCCGCGCCCGGAGCTCCGGGTCTCGGCGACTCGCGCGGCGGCGGCCGTGGGTTTGCTCCAAAAGCCGACGCTCTGCGCGCCGCCCTCCTCGCCCGTCAGCTCTGGCGCAGTGCTTGGGCCTCGAAACGGTGCGGCCCCAAGCGAAAGTCGGACGCGGAATGGTCAAACCACCCTGCCACCCTGCTTGAGGTTCGTGGGGATGGAGCTATAGACCCCTTAGCAACGAATTTAGAATCATGAAGGATTCTGGTAAGGGGACCATGAGCACGACTCGCGTCAGGATTTTGCTTGTGGCTCAGATGTTCTCGACAGGACTTCTTGGCGAGACGCTGCCGCCACGAGCACTGGTGGCTGCCGTAAATGCTGCATTTGCGGAGGCGATGGAATGTGCTGATGTGACCAGCATGCACACCACTGGCCAGCACCATTTTATGGGGTAGTGCTTATGGGATCTTTGTTTGGCGGAAGTGACGAAGGGAAACAAGCCCAGACCACATTGGCCCAAAGACCATGCCGTGCCATCCTGTCTGAGTTCCCGAGAAGGCCATCGAACACGCCGCTGCTGAACAGGCAGCAGCAGCCCTGGAGCAGGCAGGAGACCAGCATTGGGGCGATTGGCATGCCCGACTGGCGAACAAGCCTGCTCTTGACAGGAGGAGAAGCAGATTCGAAACGAGGAGGAGGCAAGGTGACAAAGGTTGAATAGGCCACATGCATCGGGGATCAAGTCTTGTTCTGCAAGACATCACCATCGCTTGAAAAGACGCAGCTGGATGAAAGTAGATGGTACAGATCATCATCTTGGTTAAGTCATCCCCTTTCACTTACATGAAAATAAAATCGCGCCATCTACCTTGGCGCTTAGATGACACGCCAGCCAGCACAAAGCACAGTGGTTCCGGCTGGATTAGGAGCTTCATCAGCAGCACTTGGAGCTGTTGGAGCGCCTTGGGGCGTGCCTTGGCCGTTTTGAGGAACTCGACAGCCGCCATCTTCTTTCGTTTGTTTTTTTTGTTTGGGGGGGCGGCTTAACTCTAAGCAAAACCTCCTGTGGATGGACAGAATCCTGCTTGTTGGTATATTTACAGGGGAATCATCAGAAACCAGAGTTTCTTAGGTGGCGCGAAATGGATTTTGTCCATCCTCAGTATTTGGAGTTGCAGACGTTGCCTTGGGCACGCATCTTTTTTTGCCCAATGCGCGAGACAACTGTGCTGGCTGTGAGGCTCCAGGCCGAAGCAATGAGAAGTGGGGACAATGCTGGGGAACAGGCGCAGAACTCGGTGTGAACTTTCTGCACACGCAGTGGCCGGATAGCTTAGCAATATCATGCTTGCGCGCGGTTTGCAATGATTTGAACACGCCCGCTGGCGCTGTTTGAGGCATTGGGAGAGCGGTTTGGACAAGTCATGATGGAGTTGCAGGCTCCTTGCCCGTGTCACAGCTCAATGTTGCCAGTGTACAGGTTTCAATTTGCCTTCCATTGCTTAGCTCCCCAGGAGCTTGCAAAGCGTCAGCGATGTCAGGTGCGGGGTGCGGAGGGTTGATCCTTGGTCCAGGGTGCCACGGGATGAACCCATGATTTGGATTCCCCAAAAATGGTATGCGACGGTGTTCCCTTTGGTTTCCCTTTGCAACCACCATAACCACCCAAAACAAGGTTCCCTCAAAAGACGGCCCATATCCGGTATTCCGCGTTTTCCCTGGTGGTGATTTTGGGGATGGACAGGGCAGAGGCAGCTGGTTGAAAACGTTCGCAGGAACTTCGAGCATGGCGGCACCGCAAGTAGCCCAGCAAATTCTTAATTTGAGAGATGCTCAGAAACTGGTTGGGTTTCCATTTGATCCACCAAAGTTAAACCTTTACCCGGGGATCTGAGGACAGCCCACACTTTACATTGCGATTGCAGGGGGTGCCTTAGGTGCAGTGGCGTGAGTGCTTGCGGAAGCTAGCCCTGTGCAGACTGAGTCTGACTCAAGTCTAAATGTCCAAGATGTGAAAGTAGGCTGATTGGAGACGTCCAGAAAAGTATCATAGAAATCAGTTTCAAGCGTCTTTGATCATCGGACTCACTGGCTTACAACTTAGGACAAGTTGCCAGTTGAGTGGCAACCTCCAGCTTTCTATCATTGACCAAGGCGTGCGGCGGCATAGTCCATCATGGTCACGGCCGACTTCGCTGGACATGGAGGACAGATCTGCATGTGGGGTTGCCCTTTTCACGGAGGGCGCCCAGGCCGGCTGTTTTACCTCGGACTTCCCTTTCAACCAGCACCAAGCAGGGTTTCATCAAAGACAACCTCATGCCCCTCATGCGCCCGAATGCTTGAACCACACCCGGCAGGACCATTTGAGCCGTGCCCATGACATTTTCACCTTCTGGTTCTTTGAGGCAGGTTCGGAAGGCTGCTGGTTAATCCCAGCAGCTTCAGCTTCTGTGTGCCTCGTCCTGTTGGGTCGGTGAGAGTACATCGAAGTTTCCAGAAGTTTACAGGCCTGGAAGGCAATCAACATATTTCCAGAAGTTTATGTCCAGACATTCCACCCCGGCAAAGCAACATGGAAACCCCAAACCCATCATTTGTAGAGGAAGACCTTTTCGGGCCCCGAATTTGGGGGTCAATGATAATTTGCAGGGGAGTAAGTGAGCGGAACAATCGGTTTTCAGCCCTGTTTGCTTGCACTGAACATCCGTTGGTCAACCAGAATCTCCATCAATCTCTGGGGGCAAGGGACACTTGTAAACATTGTGGTAGATATGGATTTGTCTTGAATGAGCTTCCAGCCAAAAAGCACCAAGGCGCTTTCCCCTGCGTCAGCCCGAGCAAAGCACTGCCTCGCATTCGCTCGCGGTTAGACCCGAAAACACTCCCAAACATCGAACCTCTCGTGAATATGTTCGTCTTTCCCCTTTGTTTTCTCCCTTTTCACCTCGCATCCCCTACCCCCTGATTGGAAGCACGGGGTATTTACCCACATCGAATCGGGGAAGCGATGGGAAACTCGCGTCGCGCAGATGCGGGACCGGCTGCGCGTGAGCTTCAAGCCCCTCGAGGCGAAGCTGGCGCCGGTGCCGGAGGAAAAGCCGGCGAACCGAAGCACGCAACTAGAGGTGTTTGTCGTGGGTTGGCGCCCCCTCTTTTTGGTGGTTTTAAAGGGAACCCACAAGGAAACCCAGGATTTATATATATATATATGTATTATATTTATCCGGGGGGCATTAAATTGGGTTAAAAGCCTTCTAGCTACCGGTGATTGGATTTAAGACTATTTGCACCAATCACTTCCGGTTTACCCCATTTACAATTAAATACGATTCGGGGGAGTTGTTGGATTTGTGTCATCAATCCTTGGCTGAGCACATTTTGCCAAACCCATCCTGCTGTGAGATGGACGTCAGTGCAAGTTGGGTCGGAAACGTAGATGTAGCATTGCTCCTCAATCCCAACAATAAGTATGTCTACATCATCCACTGGATTTAACTACAGAAAACTTTTTGTATTAAAGGCCGAGTGAAAACCTTCTATTTTTGGTACAACGAGGTAGGGCCATGACATATAGGTGATTGAGAACAATTTGAGAAGAAAAATCCTTAGATTGAGGGGTATCACAAATGAGTCCAAACGGATGCAGGGTTGGAGAACGAGGTGGGAGCACCCGACCGTTCAACCATGCAGCGGATAACTGCTGCAGCACATGTGTCTGTTTTGCGGGAAATTGGGTAAGCATGCACCCTCGGGTTTAAACGACTTCAAGCTCATGATAGAGGGCGTCGAGAGTATTAAAGGGTTGCTAACCAAATATTCTCTACAGAAGTTTTGACCATGACACATGCGGTCGTGAGTTGGGTTGCGTTGGGCTGTGCACCAGTCTTGTCACCTTGTGCGCAGGACCACGCGCAGCAGCTGCTTTGCGGCTCGCTGCGACACTCCCCATCTGCACGGACATTGCGAAATTCAGGCTTGCCCGCTTCAAAATTGATCAAGCTTTGGAGTTGTCGAAGCGGAACCGGGTTGATGCGTGACGCTGCCTTGCAGGCAGGAGAAGCGCTCAAGACAAGTTCCTGAAGTAGAGGAGTCAAATGTCCAGCCGACTAATTCACAGAGCCCAATCACGACATGATGATTGCATGTGCAGCGCTGCAAGCGAGGAAATGGACAGTGCGGTGAGGCTTACCGAAAGAGTCTTGAATAGGAAAAGCTGATGGGCAGGCGGCGATTGGAACTCACATTTTCCAAATTTGAGCAGCGTTCAAAATCCCCATGAAAGAAGTTAGTAAAGATGTTGTCCTACAAGTTGCTGCGTGAAGGGAAAACGCAGGGCCGCGAAAGCTGCGCGAAAGGGATGCGAGCAGACATGTTTGCGAAAGGAAAACACGGGGACGCGAAAGCTCCAGGTTTCTTGGCGCAGTGCGCTCCGCGGAAACAAGCACTGCGGGCGCGCCTTTCGGTTCGTGAAAGGCTTGGCGAAGGCAGGCGTGGAAGCCGACACCGTGGATAGGGTTAGAGCACCGACCGCTCGATATATGAGCTTCAATATCACCGTCATTTACATTATGTAGGACTGTTTCATGCACGTCGTGTTGTTGTTTTGTTCTGGAAAAACGATGCGGGACGTCCAAACAAACGATACCCCAAAACCTGAGAACAAAGCATGAAACACGATGCGGGAAGTCCTAATTTATTGTTGGAATGAACACACCCCAAACTCACCATGTAGCTGACTAACGTGTCAGGTGGATGTACGGTGGGCGTAGGCACCCTCATGCTTGCGTGCACCTGGCATAGGCCGGCGCAGGTGCATCGCTGGCGTAGCAACATGATAAAGGTCATCTTCCCAAACAAATCATTGCTGACCTCGCAGGCTGTAGCATGTTCAGAGCCTTTCGTGGTCACCATAGCTCTCCCTGGCTGTACCAAACGCATCAAGTTGGCCAATTTGCCTCAAGATCAAGAACTGGGTAGCCTCAAGATCAAGCCCTGCGAAGTTGGTATGGCCTCTGAATGGAATCGAGCCATCAGCAGCTTCGCACGGAGCTCCAAGTGGCGAGATGCTTTGCTGCTGTGTCTTGGCGGATCCCAGTACAGAATCCTTCGACTAGACGTGTTGCGGGCTTTTGTTGGGGAACCCGTTTTGGTTGGCTTTGAAACAGAAACCAAAAGGAAACTACCCATGAGGGTTCCCTACCCGATTTGGAGGCATACCCATATCAAAATTTTATAGTTTTCCTAAAAACCTAATTGCTAGCAAGGGACAACTTGGATGTTCTGCCAAGGTTAGTAGTCCCTTCCCCTTAATAATCCAAAGGGCCCGCCCCCCCCCAAAAAAAAGAGCTGCCGGCAAAACCATTTATATTATTAGGGGGCCTCTGGTTCTGGAGGGTTCCTTTTGTTCTTTGTAAGCTTCGCTGCGCCCTTTGGTTTTGTTTAGAATTTGTTTAGTATTGGCCTATTGTAAAATTATGTTTCTTGGATTTTGGATTTCCGAAAACAATTGTCAATAGTGAGACCTTATTTAAAGGGGGAAAGGATTAAGTTGTTGGTAACCTACGTTCGCCCCCACTTACAAGTGTCCCCCTAAGTGGGGGTAACCTTGTTGTTAGTGGGGAAACCCAGGTGGCCACTTACTAACCTGGCGAATCGACCATCCAAGCAGCGAATCACAAAGGTTCGAGGCAGCACAACATGCTGTCCAGATCGATGTGGTGACAGTCACCTCAGTCATGGCTGCCTGTCGATGGCGCCTGTCGCTTCAGCTTCTCCAAGAACACCTCCCACTGGCGAATGTTATCACGTACACAACCTTGATGCGCGCGTGCAACAAGGAGGGCGAATGGCAGAACTGCCTCCTGCTCTTCAACTCACTTCTTGAAATGAGCTTCCAAACCGATCTGATTCTGCATAGTGCAGCTGTGACTGCGTGTGAACGGGGCAGCCTGTGGCAAGAGGCCTTGGTCATGATTGGTAGCCTGCGCCTGATGTCTCTTTTGCCAGACAGTATCATCTTCAATGCGACGATTAGCGCTTGTGAGAAGGCTGCAGAATGGCAATGGGCACTGCACTTGCTGTGTTCCCTCCATCACTGGGCAACTCTGCCAAGTGTGGTCACATTCGCCGCAGTGGTCAGTTCCTGTGGCAATGCCACCCAGTGGCGCCGTGCCTTGCACGTCTTGACGGAAGCGAAGTCGGCGTCGGTGTCGGCGGACGCGGTGCTGTGCAATGCAGCCATCAGCGCCTGCGGCGCTGATTCCCAGTGGCGCTTGACGCGAGACTTGCTGACGGAGATGGAGAGGCGAAGCCTGCCCAGCCAGGTCTGGGTCAAAAAAACAGCCGGAGGTTCCAAAACACCACCTTGTTTTTCCTTTTTTTTTCCTGTTGGTCCGCCTTTGGACCGCAGTTGGCTCAGTTGAAGAAACACCCTAGGTGACCTTGAACGCGTGCATCACGGCCTCTGAAAACTGGTGCCATGGAGTGAAGCTCTTGGGTCTGTTTGACCGCTGGAAGCTGCAGAAGGACGTGGTGAGCTTCAACGCGGCCATCTCACGCGATGCCTGGCCTGTGGCATTGGAGCTGAGCCTCTTGGCCTAGAGTTTGATTTGGGTGTCAATAAAAAAAACCATTTTGGTTGGGATTGGTGAATTCAGCACCCATTTTAGTCGGGATTGGGATGTTCACTGGGGGTGCGGGATTTTGACCCATGGCTATTTGTGTCGATCGAAGTCCGGGATCGGATACGATTTTCATTTACCCCAGGCAAACCACATGTCGTAGGTCACCCCTCGCTATTTGCAACTTGTGGGTTTTATTTCGGGTGGCTCGAGTTCCCTGAACCTTACCAGGTTTGCATGGATGCACTGGGTCATTTCAGGGGCTGACTCGTAAACTGGTGTTTCCTGGCCTGGGGGGGGGGGCTGACTGACGTGCAAACCTCTGAGGCCGAGAAACGGCTCTCCGCGGCCTCCCTGCCACGGTGGTCACCTGGACGGCCGCCGCCACGGCCGCCTCGGACTCGCCGGGCGCTGCGGGCGCCGCGGGCGCCGCCTGGCGCCGGGCGCTGCGCTTGGCCATGGCGCCGGCTGGAGCGAACGAGCTCAGCTTCGAGGCGGCCATTCGCAGCTGCGCCTTGGCCCAACGGAGAAGAAGCTGATGAAGCCAAAAGGGCAAGGAAGCCGAGCTTGGGGCCAGGTTTTGCGAGAGTTCCGGCCCGAAGCAGTCTAGTGGACTGATTTGGAGCCTTTGCCGACATGTCGAGGTCATGGCGTGCTTTCAAATCGCAGTTCGCTCGCTCCACTTGGAGTGCTTTTTTTTTTGATAGCTCATAAATGTCCGGCAGTCAGCACCAAGTGTTTGAGGTGCAAACGCCCAAAATCGAGGAAGTCAGATTGCGGGCATGGCACCCGTATGCATCCCTTCATTTTGGAGGGTGCCAACGGCGCCGCCTCCAATCAGAGGAACAACACCTGGCCTGCTTCTGCGGGAACGATATAGCTGCAGTCTTACTTTTCAAGAAAGAAAACCCTCGAAAGCGGTTGTGTTCAACTTTTGGCTTCCCTTCTAACACCGCACAGGGGTACTCCAAGAAAGACACGTATGTGGACTCAAAGCCGCTCATTGATTTGGGCGGGCGGTTCGTACTTCAAGGTAAACATTGGCAGGTCAGCTTTGCGCGCTGGTTTGCAACAATTCGTTTGCATCTTTTCTTGGCCAAGCCTGAAACAGGTGGCCGAGCAAATCGCTTAAGGTCAAACAAGGGCGCAGTCCCATTCGTGCCATGCAGGGAATGTGAAGTCGTTTTTTTGATTGGGGGGGACATATCCTCAATGAACCTACGAGGGATGGTTCAGTTCGGGATCATTTTCTCATTCCTCGCCTATTAAACATTTGGAGTGGAACACGTACGCTGCCAAGGAGAAATGGAGAAATGGCAGGTTGCTGATTCTTTGGTCATGCGTGATATTAGTGGCAGATTACATATTTGACTCTCCGTTGTCACAATCAAAGCCCGAAGTGAAGGCTAAGGGACAGTCCCAGCCGCAAATAGGTGCGGAAATCCGCCCTCTTGACTCTTCATGACTGGGCAGGCCCCTTCAGTCTGGCAGTCTTGACTCATTTTGTCTCTTAGCCGTTTACAATTCGGAGAATGTGCCAACACGGGGGGGAAAAGGAAAAATGCGCTTGCCTCCATGTGCTGAATCACTGGTACGCTTGGCTCGAGCTTGCCTTTGAGCCGCTGGCGCGAGCTTGTCATGTAGACCGATGGTATCATTTTGCTGATGCGAGCTGGCAGACAAGACGCGATGTCCAGTGATTTTGTGGACTGCTTGTTGAGAATGTTCTCCTTGCGACTTCCATGACATGGTATTCCGATCTCTCTCTTTTTTTTCTCTCTCTCTCTCGCAACAGAGAAAGACATATATACCCCAACCGCACCAAAATGCTTTCACTGTATGGTGACTGGAGAGTCTCCACCCGATGACCGCCAATGTCGTCGCAGCTTGGCACTCAGTGGCCAGCCACGTGCGTCCCGAAGGTCCGACCTGGGTTCAATCCTCAAGCCTTGCTCGCCCGCCTCACTTGGTACATTGGGTGCTTTAAACCTAAGGTTTAAAGCCTCATTTATCATATTTATCATTGACACTCGGCGAAGTATGCCAGATGGTGGTTTCCCGCTCGGTATCCCACTCCTCATTACTGTATGTCTATGGAGAATCCTATGAATACTGGGATAAACCAGATACCTTTGGTCCAGTGACTCGAAATCAATAATTCTATGCAACAACCCAGTGGGGTTTGTCTCTTTCTGAGGGCCCCCTCTTTTGGTGGTTTTGATGGTCCGGATCCTATTGAACAACCCAGTTGGGTCTGTCATTTTTCGAGGCTCCTCCTTGTTTGGTGGTTTTCACGGTAAACCAAGAGGAACACTGTTGCAAGCCTCTTTGGGGGGTCCAACTCCCGAGGAGCGACTTCGAATTCGGGCCGCAGCTGGGTCGAGGAAGCTTCGGAGCAGCGACCTCAGCGCATTTCACCGAAAGTCATGTGCCGTGTCTCGTCTTTTTTCGGCCCCCCCAAAAAATAGTAAAAGGAGAATTCAAAGAATTATTCTTTCTACTATTTTTTCTCCAACAGCAACACAACAAACAGAAAACAAAATCCAGAACAACAAGCAAACAAAATAAATAATCACAACCAGCAACAAAAATATTTAATCACAGCATACAACATTAAATAATTCAAACAAGCATACCAACAAAACAGCAACACTCTAAATCATCAAAGAACCCAAACTCAAAAACACACATCAACAAAAACAAAGCAACATACCAACAAAAAATATCACAAGAGTATCAAACAAAACAAAAACAAACAGCCAAAGCACGAACAAATTGAAGAAGCATGCCAAGTCTAAACAACGCACTTTGAAAGAGATAAGCAAATTATAATAATTCAATCTTTACAAACGATAAATATATTACAATTATAACATATAATATTTTACATGTGATAATCATAGTATGATTATAATTTCAGTACAGGATAATAATTTAATTGATTTGTCTTACTTCTTTCATACATCATTTTAAAAATAATATCTCAATGTATTTTGAACATTAAAATTTTTACTTTCAATAAATAATTTGATATTTTCTTTAACATCTTCTCCTTTCTCTTGACTATAACACAACATCCTTAATATATCATCAATCATACCATATTTTTTCTTAGGGATTTTAAGAAACTGTTTAATATAATCGTAAGGTGGTATTTTATTTACAGTTAGAAATATTAAAATCTCATCTTCTACATTTCTATTATGTCTCCCTTTTATTCTCAACAGACATTTGATTAAAACTTGATTATCTCTCCATTCCTGACAAATTTTACATTCATCTTCTTCATCCATTGAATAATTAATAATAGTATTCAATATTTTATTAGGTAAATTTAATTTATACAATTCCATATTTTCTTTTTTGAAGTGACAACAATCATAGCATTTTTTATTGATATAATTATTGATTTTATCACCGTTCATTTCTATCTTAATATATTAAGTCAATATTTCTTTAAGTCATGTTTAAGGCATTAATAAAAATTAAGAAACTAACCATAAGTATAGTATAATTATAGCATATAATATTTTACATGTTATAATTATATTTCAATTAAGAATTAAGGATTTAAGATAACAGTCAGGCAATATGTCTTCAAATATGTAATCTACATATTTATCAATATCACCAATGTCTATATATTTGATATTGTCTTTTCCTATTATTGAATAAATATATTCCCAAAAGAATAAATACAGCAATAGACATACTTTATATTTAGTGTCGTAGTAATACCATACATGATATTTAGTTATTCTAAATTCATTCAAGACCTTGTTTATTTTATCTTTGCTTAATAAATGCCAATCAATCTCTTCAAACAAATCACGAAATTCTTTAGCAAATGATTTATATGGTTTAATGCTTAGTTCTCCTCCAAACCTTTTAATCAAATCTTTATTATTAAAAAAATCATCAATTTCTTTTTCAAATGACTCTCTATCAATTTTATTGTAAAAACATACAGGAAATCGTTTATTATATCTAATAAAGAATTTCAATTTTAATTGAAACTTTGTATATGCCTTATCCTTATATTCTTCAACAAACAACTTTTCAAGGTCTCTTGTTATACAGCATTGATTACAATATACATCATATTCACTTATTTTATTACACAGATTAGCAGGTAATAAGTTATACAATGTAAAATTAATATCATTCTTTTTATTATTACAACATTCACACTTACTATAATTAAACAGTGTCATTTTTCCTCTTAATATATTAAGTCAATATTTCTTTAAGTCGTTTTCAAAGAATTTATTTTATAATGGCCGTAAGCAAGTGAGTTTACACTATCTATCCAATATTTTTTGTTTTCATAACTACTAAGAGCAATTTTTTTAGTTGTTATACTAAAAATTCTGTGGTTTTTACTTCTAATACTATTAAATGACTTATGTATAACCTCATTAGTTTTTAAAACCGTCTCAAACTCTTCATATTTCATTTGACGTCTTACTGTGCCTTTTGCTATTCCCTTACATTTCTTATATTTTTTATCATCACCATAAACTGAGTAAGCATAGCATTTAGGACGAAGAGCTATAAACCCTGTTATTATTTTACTTTTTAATTCATCCTTAAATTTACCTAATACTTTCTTGTTATTATCATCATAACATTTATGTTCCTTAGGATAATCTGAAAAATCTAATTCTTTTTTAATTGTATTAAGGTCTTCATAAATGTCATTGGTTTTAGTATGAAATACAAAACTATCAGTATCAGTATATACCATTTTAATATTATCTCCATATTTAGGCTTCATAACGTCATAATAAAATTTATACATGTGTTGCTTACTCAAATCTAAAATACTCATCCCAATAAATATAGGTTTGTCTAGTTTCAACTTTGTTTTTTGCTTTTCAACTCCAACCAAATTTTCATTAATGATATGACTATGTTTGAAGTTAGGATTACTTACACACTTCATATATCTAGTTTCATCACTCACAACCTCAAAATCTAAATGTTTCCTTTTATCCTCCATTGTTTTTCCAAATATGGCATTGTTCATCAATTTGTAAACATCTTTCTCAAAATCATTTCTAGCATTCTTCCTCTTCTCAGTGTTAAACTCAATGTAAGGTTTTAAAACTTCTTTTTGTTCAAATTTAATTGCTCTATGAATTTTCTTAAGTTTTAACCCTTGCTTCAAATAAAATTGTAAGGTTCTTATATGGATTACATATTTTTCTTTATCATTTAAATTCAATACTAATTTATTTGTTTTCTCATCCGTAGGTTTTTTATGATTTAAAAATTCATAAATTTCAATTTGTTTATCTGACAGCATGTCGGCTTTAACATTCATAACCTCAGGTGCCATTGGATAGTCATTGTGTAAATCGTGTAATTCTTTAGGATATTCTAAATCCACTTCTAGAATATATCCAATATTATTATTCTTATAATTAATAATGTCTTCTTCTTTTAATGTATCATCCCATTTTAGATTTTTATATGGCAGTTTTTGTATCATGCTTAACCCGTACAAATTATTAGCATCAAAATAGTTAATATAACTACTTTCTTTATTTTTATCATATTCTTCTCCCATGTATTTATTATTTGCTTCAACTTTTTTAGTAGAAACCATACACATCCCGCCTCTAAGTCCCGCTTCTATCATTTCATACATTTCTTGGTCATATATTAAATCAATCTCTACACCAGTCATTTTAAGCATAGCATCAAAAGCAAAGTTAGGCAATGTATAATAATAAGCAGGGTCCAATCCATAATATTTCATACATACATCTCTAAAGTTTTCGAAAATGTCAGTCAATAATAATACATCAGTTTTCAAATATAAATCATGGTATTCACCCATATTCTTAATGTCAAAATGCTTCCATATATTTTTTGCCCTTTCATAGTCGTTAACACTTATACCTTCTTCACTCAACTGACTATAAAAATCATCCTTACTCGGTAATTGCTCATCATCAAATTTATCAAATGAATTCATGTAGTCATAAGGATAAACACCTTTATCAGTCAACAAATCTAGACATATCTCACTCTTAATCAAATCATTTTTACTACTGAACCTAAAATTATCTTTCCAGTCTTCACGCAATAACCATTTACTTTTATCTTCTTCATCTGTATTGTCATACTTACTCATTGAAACTAACTTATCTAATGAAGCAGTTAAAAACCCAAAAGTGTCTTTAACACTCAAACTTTCAAAACTGATATTAATAAATTTTTCACTGTTCTGAGCGATGACACCTATTTTATTGTTGTTACTTAATTTATCCGCATTTTGAATAATTAAATGGCCATCATAATTTTTCATGTTATGGAAGAATACTGGAATTTTAAAATATCTATTACAAAAATTAAGATTGCAAACATTATGAGCACAACCTCTATACTTACCTGTAAAATGACAATGGTCTCTAACTTGTCTATATTTCTCTTCTTCCTTGGCATTCTTATAGTTCATTCTAAACTTATCCCCACAAATAAAGCAGTTTTTAACATTTTTAAAATCTTCTTTGTCTTCATCAGTCATGTCTATTTTTTCGTTTTCTCCCATCTTCTCCTTTACTTCTGCCCTAATCTCATTAAGTTTTTGACAAAACACATCAACAGCATCTTTACCACGATACATAAATTCATAATTTGTATTATCAACAGCATTAACCATATTAAGCATAAAACCACATGGTTTATGCTCTTGATAAGAAAAAGTGTTTTTATCTTCATCTTCATCAGGTTTTTTCAGTTCCTCTGTCAAACATTCAAAATCAGCATATACAACAAAAGGACACCTTAACTTTTTGAAGTGATGCTTAAAACTAACTTTTTCATAAGGCTTAGGCATTACTATTTGTTGTCCTTCAACTTCCATACATCCACTATCATAATGTTTATTTAATAATTCTTCATTTCTAAATCCATGATTACAATATTTACAAAAATAGGACTTACCATTATGATTACTTTTCTGATTATTAATAAGTCTGCTCAAACTTTTTATATACACATAATGACTGCAATCCTCCTCATCAACTCTCAACAAATCAAGATGACAAGAAGCATCTTTATTTTTCAATTTTCTACTAATAACAATTTGTTCATTATCATCAATTTCATAAACATTAATGGATATTGATTTATTATTTTCTTCAAATATATCTATATCATTATTATTAGCAGGAAAACTCACACCATCAAAAATCAAATCACTTGCTATCTTCTTGTAATGAAACATCTTTTCAGGGTGTGCTTTATCACAAATTTTACAATATCCACACTCAATAGAATATTTAAAACACTTGTCATCTTGATTTTTAATATTGATACATGCCTTTTTCTTTTTAATCCATTCTGGAAGTTCAATATATTTGCCAGCTCTAGTCGGATTATATT